GGTCATTAGAAAATTGCTTACATTGTGTTTGGTTATTCTTATGCAGTGTTCAATCTTTGATCATTCTAAATGAGTGCTGGGGATTATTCAGCAGTTGATTGCTTTGTCTTTATCAACGTGATAGTTGCTTGTACATGTGTGGCTGTTTCAGACATCAATTAATTCCTGATGGATTTCACTACTTTTAAGAAGGTTCCCTAACCCAGTGTCATCTTGCATTATTGATAAAATCAGCACTGAATTCTTTGCTGTTCTAAATTCATTGTCTAATGGCAATAATTAGCATCTGTTCAAAACTGTAATTTACACATAATGTATGTGCTGAACCTAAATTTTAAAGACTGTCTTTATAACCTAAAATGTGAAGGTTGCCCAGGGCTGCCCAGAGGATTCAGGGGCCTGGGGCAAAGCAATTTCGTGGGGCCCTTCCATTAAAAAAAGTTGCAATACTATAGAATACTATATTCTTGTGCGGCCCTGAGGTTGCCAATTGTTAGTCACTCAGATTAAAAAAAAAAAAAACCCAAGTTTATATAATTTATCTCCTAATTTATGTCCAAGCAATTAAGTGATTTTGCAGATTTTCTTGTACTCTTTTTTTCAAACCTCAACCGTTTTTGAAATGAAATATCTTGATTTTGGAAATAAATGTATATTGAGATATTCAAAAGCTGACTAGAAGATTTAAACTCAGTTCCCATTAAAATTAATGGGAGATGTGTCTCCTACTTGGCTTTTGTATACCAAAATCTCAAGGTTGGCTTAGTTGCTGCTTTCTTAAAAGCAAAGCTAACCAAGCAGTTCAACAATAGCAGTATCAGGAATATGAAAGTCACGTTATTTATTTCAAATTCAGTTTAATTTCCAAGACTAGTAATAATAATTTTAAACACCAATAGATTTTAAGTGAGTAATTTAAACCACGAACATTCAGTTTGAGTCACTGAAATTAAAATAGAAAGGACAGCTGGGTCTGATTTTAATTTGAAGACTGAAAGCTTGTGTAGCAGCAGCGGCAACAACAGAAAAGCAACCCCAAAGCAGACCCAGCTGTCCCAAGTCAAGCAGAGTGGACTCATGTTTAAAAATAACAGACTGATACTGCATATGGTGAAGGGGAGTTTTTTGGGAGGGCACTGGGTAACTTTCCATGTTCATTTTAGTTGTCATGAACATTAGCCATTTCCGATTTAACGTTTACAACTTACAATTTTTTTTCCTCTGCAGAAACTGGAGAATTTCCTCAAATTCCTCCCTTTCTGTATTTTTAGAGAATATCTTGCTAAGGGACATTGGGCTATGCAGTTGCTATTAACAACTGTAATTAAATTTTACTTCACAAAAATGAGAAAGAAGTCTTACATCTTTCATACCCAAAACCACAAGAAATTGCAACTTTGAAAGGGGTCTTTTTCATATTAAGAACTTCATAAAGTTTACATTCTACTTTAGTGAAATCACCTGCTTGATGAAGGTCATAGCAAATGATTCCACACACATACAGACACTCCCTTCTCCTCCACCCCACTTCACAGACACAGTCATTTTTAATAGTTACACAATTTGCAGTAAAATCCTCCCTTCTCTGTACAGTACAATAGAAGCTTTAAAAAAAGGGATGGAGAAATGCTGCAGCAACCACAAATTTGTCACTTGAGATTTATGGTTAAAATACTAATTTTGGTCTAAAAATGGTTCATGTTTCAATTGATGGTTAACCAGTTACAAGAGAAATTCAGATTATTCTAAACCTGCTGTGCAGTGGATAGTCTGTATAAACAACTTCCTTTAATCAAAACTTTGGTATATGGATGCTTTCCACTTTTTGCTCAGTTACCTCTCCCAGTGATAAGAAACTAACACCAGCTGTTAAGCTCTATCTTCAGTCCTACATTTTTTTTCCCCCAGTGGTAAACTAATGTATATTTCTGTTAAATTGCTTCGAGGTACTGAATCACATTTTCCTTACCTTCTTTGTACCTAGGTGCTGTGATGATGGCAGCATTATAAAATCCTAAGATTCTAATGCAAATCACTAAACTGTGGTGGGATGGAAAGATCTATCCAGCACAATTACAGTGCATAGTCAACTGGCTTCTCTTTTGTGGTAGTGTTGCCTAGTAAACAGAACACTCAACTGGCAATCAGAAGCCCTTGATTTTGTTCCCGGCTCTGCCACTCGCTGCTGGGTGATCTTGGGCAAGTTAAATTCATTTTATGTACCTCAGTTTCCCTATCTCTGCATAAATTGGGGGTAATGATACAGACTGCTTTCTAAAGAGCACTAGGTGGCATTATTATTTTTATCTTAGGTTTTTAATACTTTGATAGTACTTGTACAGTTTGATACATTTCATTTGGTTCTTTGGCAGATTCAGCATGTTTCACATCCATGAGAAGAGGGTGGGAAAATCATTGTGACCATAATTTTACTCCATTTTATTTTTAGATATCCTTTCAGAGGATTATTTGTCTTATGAGAGAAAGGGATACAAAGCGGCAGAGTACGGGAGAGGCTCTGGTAATGTTTAAAAGTGGTGCCTGTGCTAATCTAATACAAGCTCACCACAGATCCCACGAGAGCTCAACTTGGGATTCCAAAGATACCCTTAATAAGATCCAGAAAGTGTTTGTGTAATAAAAGTCAGATTTTAGTTTATCCTTGAAAAATTCATTTGCTTTTCGTAATATTTGGGGAGGGGGCAACAAGGTAGATTTCACCTTCTGAACAGTACAATTGTTTAGTAGCTATTCTGCTTAATAACTGTTAGTTGGTATATATCCATTTTGGTATAAAGGAATGACTTTTTGTGAACTAGATTTTTTTTTTTAAGCATACAATTAGTTCTGCAAGTGTTAAGACATTGATGTAATTAAGTGCTCCATTTGTGAGAAATAATTTCTTACTGGTGCATTGAATCTTGGCATTGTCACAGGCCAACCTATTCAACAGAGAAGTTGGCCTGCAGTGGAAGCCCATTTGGGGGGGGGGGGGGAAAGGGCTATGGAAATTACAGAGTCAGAGCCAGGCTGAAGTAACTTTTCTTTAGAACTATCAGCAAGGGTACACAAGCTGTGCACCCAGTTTTCTGAAGTGTCTAAATGACAAAAATTAGCTGGCAGAGTTGGAATGGCAGCTGTCCACTCATCCATTTGAGGACAATAGCTTGTTTTTTCCCTTCCTTATGCATTTTGGGGCCCTCTTTTATTCTTCTCTTGCTTAATGACTGTTCCTCATATAAGCCAGTAAGAACCTTATTTCACGTGCAAGATAATTGTGTTTGCCTTTATCTCACCATCACAACTAAGTAGTATGTAGCTGTTATTGGCTAATGTTAAGAATAGACCTCTTGGTTAACCAGTCAAGGAAGAGAACCTCATTGCTTAGGACATCTTCCTGACTGAATTTGTTGAAGTCTTTCTCAAGAGCCTGATTCCCCACCTCCCACACTAAAGTGTTCTTCCTGGGCTGGCAAGGACTGAGTAGAAGGGATGGAATGAGAACATGAAAATGCTTATCACTGAAGTATGCTACCACAGAGAACATAGGAGTTTCCCCTTAAGGAGAGCACAGCTTGTTGATGAGTCATGTTGCTTCCAAGCACACTAGCTATTGTGCTACCTTTTGGGGATATAATTTTTTCCCCATAAAGTATATATGTGCTGTGATTTTTGAAACATAACATTTTAATTGTATGTGCAATAATTGGGCTGAATTGAGACTCTTAGCAAGTTGAAATATTGACAGTGAAATGGCATTAATTCCCCTGGAGGCTATTTATTATTAAACTGGGCCCTAACCCAGTGGAAATGTTTATAATTTCCCTTGTGCTCTTCAGTCTACTAACATGAATCTCATAAAAAGGGTTAAAAACACCCCAAGGCATTGTGGCTAAATGACGGAGTCTTGTTTTACTTTAGGAGATCTGAAATCCATTTGGTCTTTGCAAAGGAAAGTAAATGGTACAACGAATTGATTGTCATGCTTTATTTATATCATGAAAGATGATGTTGGCACGCAGCAGTTCATTCAGTATAAATCGTTTTTAAACTGGCAACAGAGGAATTTATTCAGGTTAATTTTTTGGTTTCCTTGTCATTTTTTAAATGGACAGGCAAGAAATGCAAACAGGAGGAATATTTTGGAACAGGTAATAACATTTATTTTTTTTGTTCCACTATTCATCCTTTAGCTGTTTGCAGCATTTCCACAAAAGTAGGTGAAAAAAAGCTAGTTAGGTACTTCCATGGCCCCCTTTATCAAACAATCTTTAATTATTTATCCTCACAACACCTATGTGAGAGTACTGTTTTCCCATTTTACAGATGGGGAAAAGAGAGGAGGCATAAAGATGTGACTTGTCCAAGGACACACAGGAAGTCTGTATCAGAGAAGTGAATTGAACATGGGTCTATCAAGTCCCAGGGTAGCACTCTAATTACAGGACCATCTTTCTCTCACCCTCCAGAGTTGTCGATTGGCTGGGCGCCTTTCACATTTACTCAGCACAGATTTCATATGCCTACACTGTCTAAAACAAACATATAAAACTTCACTGCCCAGTGCTGTAGATGAGCCTAAGCCTGCCTGGACAATATGTTCCTATGTTCAATATTTACTTTGTGTTTCTGACATATCTCAAAATCATTAAATAAAAACTTTTTCCCCATTTTTCCTTTGTAATCCCAATGCTAACACAATGTTACCTCCTTGTGATTATGTATTATAGCTAGCTATGTAAAATTTTCTTCTCTAGGGACCTACAGTACTATCAAGTAAGGATCAGAAAGTACCCAACCCAAAAAATACAATTAAGATTTATGATCTTGACAATTTTCACTCTGAGGCTTGATAAAGTGACAATTTTTTGGCAGCCAGTATCACTTGGAACAAATTCTCAAAGGAAAATGTTACTACACTCTCTCACATGTACATACAGCCCATACTCTTCCTTTTGTTTCATGTCTGCTACTTGTTTTTTATTTATTTATTTAAACAGGAGAACCTGAGAAGGAACTTAATCCCAAGAAGAAGATCTGGGAGCAGATTCAACCTGACCTTCATACTAATGACCAATGCATTGCTACATACAAAGGAGTTCCATTTGAAGTGAAGGGGAAGGGGGTCTGCAGGGCTCAGACCATGGCAAGCAGTGGAATCAAATAAATAAAGCCAATTACTGAGAAACTGTTCAGAGGCTTAAATGGAAAGCAGTGCAAGCACAATAAAGACATGAATATATATACCCCTCCCCCCAAGGCATGACTGATTTATTTTTCTTTTCTCTTCTTCTCCAAATGTATGAATGTGTGACTGACATTTTCAAAATACACTCATTTACCTTGTTCACTTTGCAGATTAGACTAATTAAATAATGTGCACAGTTATTAACTAGGTAGATTAAATGTTTGAGCCTTTTTCAATGGAATAAGGGGTGCAGATCCTGAGGATATTTGGGCTTAGTTTAGAAAGGGATGGAGAAGTACTCTACACTCTAAACCAGTGGTTCTCAACCTGCGGCCCAATCAGCACTGAGCTGCGGCCCATGTGACATCCTCAGGGCCATACAAGTAGTATTGGTTGCGGCTCACAATGATAAATAGCTTGAGAACCACTGCAACCCACGGAGTTACTCAGGAAGCAGGGGCCCTCATGGATAAAGGTCTCTAATGCCAGGTATTCAGGTAGTGTAGAGTTAGTGGTCTGACAGTGGATAGGTGGAACTCATGATATGTCATAGTCCTCTGCCCGTGTAGTTTTGGGCTGCTCCTAAGCAGAGACTTCTAATTTAACCGAAGTGAATGTGGTGGATCATACCCATAAATCATCACTGAAGAATAGATTCTGACCAACAAAATTAATTTAATTCAATTTTAGTACTGCACTGCTGCATGAAACAAAAATCAAGTGAATCCATTTTTGTATTTTAACTCCTACATGAAATTTCTTCAGACATACATTGTATACAGAATCACATACTTTACTGAGACAGGAACAGCTAAATTAATTTTTACACTCTAAAATAAGCTATTTTACTGCATCACATGTTAAAAGGAAGTAGCCACAATTAATATAAAGTCATGAGCTGGCAATGGCAGCACTATGTCAATTCACAACTAACCTTTTCAAACCCCCAATAACTGTTTAAATATACTTCCAAGTGTTTGTGTTTCATTTACTGTCCATCTATTGTCTAACCACTGAAATAATAAAATAAATTTCTCAGTCTTTAAATTTTCCAGATTTTGAACATCATCCATTAAGCTGGGAAAACAACAAAATGACAATAATATAAAATTAAGAGACAGGCACAAAGGAAAGATGAATACAAATGTTTTTAGATGTGCTTTGTATATATACCCCCACAGTACTAATTTTGCATACATCTGGGAACTAGCAACAATAATTAGTTCTTCCAAATACTCTGAATAATCTTCAAAACATGGGAGCTATTTAAACTGCCTTATAATCTACTCAGCCAAGGAGGTCTGATATTCTTTAAGAAGTTAAAACTGTGCAAATTAGGTTTCATTATGAAGTAAGGTGGGAAAAATAGATTACAGTATGAGACTTTCAGACTGTAAGATCTGAAAGGTCTTTGCAAACTATGTGCTTCTATCTTAGTAAAGACTGTAGAATCAAGTGCAAAAAAATAAGAATCTGAAGGACAGTCAATTCAGGCAGGATGTAGTAGCTATTCAATAATGCACAGCAACACTACAATGGTTTAGAACACACATATTCTTATTTTCTACTCAGTAATCTGCTCTTCATGAGCTACAATATAAAACATGATGATCTGTGGTGTAATATCAGTAAACACAGTAATAAGGACACTGTCCAGAATTCAACCTGAATCTGATCTGGTGTGATAATGGCTGTTAGATAGTAGGGTGATAGGAATACTATACATGTTTATGGTAGCTAATTTTGTAGTCTAAACAGTTTTCATCTATTTTATGATACGTTAAATGCAAATGTTGATTTGGGCATGAATACCCCAAGCATTTAGTGCTGACTTCTAGAGTCCTCATCTCTGCATGTCATTTTATCCCAAAGTAGAAAAGAAGATGGCTGTCAGTAAATGAGTACCTGAGAGGTAATTTGTGTTTGTCACCATCAATTTATTTAACTAGAAGCACCTGGTAACTATTTTGTCTTATAAATTCCATGATTTTTCTTAAGATTGTTTTTCTTTCCTGTTGGAGTGTGTTTGCCTGGTTGTCTACAAAAATATATCTCTGTTGTATTGAGCTCAAAAGGTTTAACAGGGTATCAGAGGCAATATGCAAGTATTCGTCTCCAGTTAATCCTGCCTCTTCTACCTTGTCTGCATGCGTAAATAGGATTGCAGTGAAGTTTTTCCATGTGGGACCCAGAAGTTCCTGTAATGATAAACAAATCTCAAATAGTTATCATTTCTTGTTCCCATCTCCCTCCTCATACACCAGAATAGATTGTGTGTGTATATATGTATTGACAGACCAATAAGCGTTCTCTTTCTGGCAGAAAGCCAGGTCATACAGTTTGAATTGCAAGAAAATGGCTATGATTCCTTGACCCTCAAAGGTGTTAATACCATTTATAATTGATAGGTGGTCAAGAGACTTCTTTCTGGTCACTATAAAGCAGATTGTATAAAGCTCTCATATGGAATTTGCATCCCACTCCATCCAAAAGAACAAAATAACTTCATCTCTTGGTCCCACAAAGGCTTCTGAAATACAGGAATAGTGATCTTTTCCTACTAAGATATGAAAGTTAATTATGTAAGACATTCATACTGTGTTTGTGAAAACATAATCTGATGCCAAGCAATACTAAAAATACAGTTGAGAACTGTTAATATGGCATGATGGACTCGGATATCTGTAAATAGAGCGTTCCTATTTTTTTTATGTATAGTCATGGATGAGGGGAGAAAAAACAAGTTTCCCTGGTAGGGCTGCTAACTGATGCTTATGTTCCCTCTTTAAATGAAGCTCAGTTGGGTCTGTTTTTATGAAAGCCTTTAAAGCTTGTTGCCTATAAAATTAATTTCAAGATTCCTTTTTTGTTGGTTTGCCTTGCATTGTTTTACAGTAAATTGTATTTACAGTGCACATTTTGTTTGAAAGTACACACAAGAATCCGTCTCAAAGTGTGACGCCTTTATTTTCTTATCTGTTCAGCGTGTCAGTATAATTCTTTGTATGCTTCTGCTGCTTCATTGCTCTTTCATCAAAGAAAAGAAAATGTCCCTCCCCCTCCTGCACCTGTTAGCAACCTTTTTACTGTATGCATGCTAACATGGGTGACGCTACAAGGAAAACACTATTCAGTTTTAATCTTCCAGGAGTTACTAGTAAATAAAGGACAATTTGAAAAAAATCTCTTGACAATATTCTTTCAAACAAGTAAGCAGAATGGATGATGCAAGAGCAAATTTATGCTTGTAGCATACATTATTCATTTGGATTTTTATTTCAAAAGCATCTGATACTAAAACGCAATTTAAGCAAAAGTGTCTGTAACTGGGGATGTGCAAGGCTGTATCTTGCATCAACATCTTTTTGCCATTGCAGAGTCCTGTTGATCTCCGTGGTGCTCTGTACAAACTCTGGGGGCTATGCTTGCAGATAAGAAAAAAATATGATGTATAGCCAAAATTGAGAGAACATAAGGAATTCTAGTCCACCATTATTTTTCCATAGAACCCAGGTATCAATTTCTGCTGTAAGAGCTTAAATCTAAAAGATTTAAGGCCCAATGCTTTACAGAATCCAGTCTTTAATTTCTTATATTTTGAGAACTCTAATTATTTAGTATTTTAAAAATAGTCTGTGATCATGAAACAGGTAAGATTAATACAGTTTTTATTCTTAAAAATCCAAATCTGAATGTTCCAATAGGCTTTTATAAAGTAACTTAATAGCTTAGGTTAACTTAGAAATTAGAGATAGAAAACACTTCCACATCATGCAGTATTGCTCCTTGAAGATATGTTTGAGAACCCAGCCTGTTCTTGAAGTGGGATTGGTATGTACATCTTCAGAGAAGAACTATCACTCTGGATCTTGGTATTAGTGCCTTAAAGGAACTCAGTGTTATACACAGTTGATATAGAAGAATTTCTTCACCCACCATGGAAATGCAGCCACTTCTCAAGGTGATGTGATATTCGTGGGTGGTTTAACTTCACACAGCAACAATGTACGATATATTGGCACAAAATGAAGAATATCCTATTCAATAGGGAGTATTTAGGTATATGCAGAACATGAATTATATCAGCCAAATTGTATTAAGTGTTCTAATATTGTGTAAATACTGAAAGTTACCAGTTTTAAATCAGATTAAAGTGCTGTAATAATTAGGTTGATTAGTCAATTTAGTTTCAAAATATCAGTGAGGTCTGAATTCTTAGTGTCATTAGAAATATAAAGGTCTTTCTTGTATACATCTTTCCTATCTACCCCACGTTTCTTAAATATGTACCTTTTATGTATGATTAACAGTGTCAAGTACCATCTACAGCTAGAGACCACATCACCATTTATGATAGTCAAATTAGTTCTGTTCTTCTGGGACAAAGTACTGCAAAGCCCAGAACAAGACACAGAAGAGTTGATTATAAGTAATGTTTGGGAATCTGCCTGTGGAAAGAGCATTAGAATCGAAAGATTAGGGTTGGAAGAGACCTCAGGAAATCATCTAGTCCAACCCCCTGCTCAAAGCAGAACCAACCCCAACTAAATCATCCCAGCCAGAGGTTTCTAAGGTCCAGCTTGACAAAGCCCTAAAGATGGAGATTCCACCACCTCCCTAGGTAACCCATTCCAGTGCTTCACCACCCTCCTAGTAAAATAGTTTTTCCTAATATCCAACCTAGACCTCCCCCGCTACAACTCAAGATCATTGTTTCTTGTTCTGTCATCTGCCACCACTAAGAACAGCCGAGCTCCATCGTCTTTGGAATTCCCCCTTCACGTACTTGAAGGCTGCTATCAAATCTCCCCCACTCTTCTACAGACTAAATAAGCCCAGTTCTCTCAACCTCTCCTCGTAAGTTATATGCCACAGCCCACTAATAATTTTTGTTGCCCTCTGTTGGACTCCAATTTGTCCACATCCTTTCTATAACTGGGGGCCCAAAACTGGATGCAATACTCCAGTTGCCTCACCAGTGCCAAATAGAGGGGAATAATCACTTCCCTTGATCTGCTGGCAACACTCCTACTAATGCAGCCCAATATGCCATTAGCCTTCTTGGCAACAA